AAAAAGAAAACCGACAAAATAAGTGATAACCGATCGTGAGGGTTTTGGTGATTCAATAATATAATAATGAAAAAAAAAAAAGACGAAAGGAAAACAAGTCCCAACACTTTACCACACAAATGAATCTTTTTGGGGTAAAAACTGCGTTCACTTTCAAAATTACTCTAACGTAAAAATGTTAAATTCAGAATTTTTGTGAAAAATACCTATTGGGTCGCCTCCAAGGCTCCAAGCGTCCAACGGCTGCAAGTTATCTAACCAGTGCATTAACTCTGCCAAATTCTCGTATCAAAACCATACCTACTTCAACTCCCTTCAAGATTTCCCACAAGAAACGAAGCAAAAATGGCAGCAACATCTTATTATGCGACTACTTCAATGTCTTCTTATCCTTCAACGAACCGCTTTGCATCGGTATCAAGAACAGCGTTTATCTCTTATCCAACCCCTTTCAATCCATATAAACTCGACGCAATCTTCAGTTCTAGTCTTCTCTCCCTTTCTTCGAAAAGAAGACAACCAAGAAAACTTAAAGGTGCGCTTTATTCGAGACCCATATGCGTTTGTCTTGCCAATTTCATCTGTTCCTTCGTTAATTTTGGTTTTGTTTTCCAATTTGAGGGTAATTTTGATTATTTTTTTTCGGGTATCGTGTTTCGATGGTTTCGCATTTGTGTCAATTTTAAGATTATCTCCTCACTATCTCCGACGAGGGTTTTCGATCCTCTTGAAGCTGGACGAATCTTTGTAGTCTATAATTTTATATGTGAATTGCAGTGGTTTCAGGCTAGTTACTAAAGTTAAAATACGAACATCTTTGATTCATTGCAGTTAAATCAGCTGTAGCTCCTGTTGAAACCACAGCCGAGTTTGATGAAATGGTTTCTGGGACTCAAAGAAAGTATTACATGTTAGGCGGGAAAGGTGGTGTTGGTAAAACGAGTTGTGCTGCTTCACTTGCTGTAAAATTCGCAAATAATGGTCATCCAACTCTCGTCGTTTCAACAGATCCTGCACATTCTTTAAGTGATTCCTTCGCTCAGGTAATCCTTATGTTTTCTGTTCCCAATTGTTTAACTAAAACAATCTGTTTTCTCTTATAGTAAAAGCAAAACAACACATTTTGATTTTCTATTTATATGTGGTTTATAGGATCTGACTGGTGGGACACTTGTACCTGTTGAAGGACCTCTTTCTCCTCTCTTTGCCCTTGAGGTTTGATGGAGAAAGTCATTTGCTTTGACATTTCTTCTTATTTCATATTGATTTTTATGCCTTTTATTGATAGTTGTAAACTTGTGGCAGATAAATCCTGAAAAAGCAAGAGAAGAGTTTCGTGATGTAAGCAAGAAGAATGGTGGAACTGGAGTCAAAGATTTCATGGATGGCATGGGTCTTGGAATGCTTGCTGACCAAGTAAAACACCTAACCAAATCTTTTTTAAGCTTCCATTGTTTAGTTAAAGATCAATTTCAAGAAAAAGCAACACACTTTCTTTTATTTATCTATTATAGCATCTTACTTACACTTCTTTCTATTACAAATTTACAACAACGTATTTTTTTTTCTTACTAAAGCATTATACCATCTCTATTTTTGAGTTACATTGTCCATGTCCTTTGTTTTGAGCCTCTTTTTGTGCATACTTTGTTTTGGAGTACTTATTTTTTCAAAGTATTTGATTTTGTGTTATTTATTTTATGATTGTTGATCAACAAAGTTAGGAGAGCTGAAGCTAGGGGAGCTATTGGATACACCTCCTCCTGGTTTAGATGAAGCTATTGCTATTTCCAAGGTAATAATTAATATTAGGGTTTGTATATTTTGACTTTGTAGCAAATATGTTCTCCCTTTTTTAAAATGTCTTGTTGATTGTGTAAATCTTTTGGCAGGTTATTCAATTTCTTGAATCACAAGAATATAACATGTTTACACGTATAGTTTTTGATACGGCACCCACGGTAAGGGAGACAATTGTACTTTTTAATTTTTTTAATTATTATTCTTTTGTGTTGAGGGTAATTTTCTGAACATAATAAGATGTGGTAACAGGGGCATACTCTTCGGCTTTTGTCATTGCCTGATTTTTTGGATGCATCAATTGGGAAGATATTGAAGGTAAATTTCTAAACTTGGAAAATTTGGATTTTCTATTATATTATTACAAGGCACTTTTATGTTTAGTAATTATGAGAACTTTTAACCAAGAAAAAAACTAATACACCATCCAATACCAATAAAGAAACCCAATGTAGCCAAATCATTATATTAACTTATTTAAAACATACCTAGACTAGTTGCTATAGTTTAAAAAGGTGTCCCTCTTAAGTCATCTAAGTTAAAAGCATTGTCACTTTCTCAGTCAGTCTTGTCAACATTTTAGTTTAATAGAACAATGCTAAACCATTTGCACAATATATTCGTTAAAAATCAACAAAATACAACAATATTGTTGCTCTTTTAACTCTCAAAATTTCAAGAAAGTAGTTGCAACTTTTATAACTCATCCTGAAAAATGAAATTGTTGCAATTTTATCCACTTCTTTACTTCAAAATCTGTAGCCTTTATACTTTCATATAGTATAACCTGGCAATAACTTTTATGTTTAATTTTGCATGTTACTTGCAGCTTAGACAAAAAATATCATCAGCTACTTCAGCCATCAAAAATGTATTTGGGCAAGAAGAAACTCGTGAAGATGCTGTAAGCACTATAAATATTAAATAATATAATAAGATTTGTAATGAAATGTGTATTTAATTAGACTAGAGCAATGATAACCAGCCATTTTTCTGTTTTTTTTTTTTTTTCTCTCTCTCATGTAGTCTGATAAACTAGAGAAACTACGTGAGAGAATGGTTAAAGTACGCGAGCTTTTTCGTGACACCAATTCAACAGAATTTGTTATAGTCACGATTCCAACGGTAATACCTTCTAGAAACATCTACAATTTTTTTTGTTTTAACTTTCAATTTTAATACAAGATATATATTTTATTAATTTATTTAAGGTGATGGCAATCAATGAGTCATCGAGACTGCGTGCTTCACTTACAAAGGAAAATGTTCCTGTTAAAAGACTTATTGTTAATCAAATTCTTCCCCCATCTGCTTCTGACTGCAAGTTTTGTGCTATGAAAAGGAAGGTAAGATATTTTTCTCATATTCTCTTTTCTTGTAAATATTATAATTTCGTGTAATTTAATATTGTAAATATATGTTTGATATTTCAGGACCAGACACGTGCAATTGACATGATCAGAAGTGATCCAGAGCTGTCTAGTTTGCTTCTGGTACAGGCGCCTCTTGTTGATGTGGAAATTAGAGGCGTCCCAGCTCTTCAATTCTTAGGGGACATGATTTGGAAATGAAACTACATCTATCTATCTATCTATCATCAAGCCTCATCAACATGATAATATAAATTTGGTGGGTCCCATCCTCAGTTCTTATTATATCATGTAAATTGTAAGTCATGGCAACAACTGACTGCTACAAGATATCTTGTGGAAGATGAGTTTTAAGTCACATTTTTGGTTACAAGGCAAGACACATATATAGAAAAGGAAGAATTAGCTCTAGTTAAACTACTATGGCGTTTTTTTTTTTTTTTTTCCGAAGGATTAAATACACTGCAACAGTGGTAAATAGTATATTTAGACTGAAATTTACTCTATTAAATTGCTATTTGATGTATGTTTATTGACCAATTTCATCTTCCTTCCATGTGCTTAACCCGGCTTGCTTTGATTAGTTCAACCTGTTGGCCGGATAGCCTTTTTGTGGAGATAATGGTCTAAAGTTAACCCAAAGGGTGCAATGTTAATATCACTATGCAAGAAACCTTTGGAATATTATGGAATATTAAATCAATCAATTTTGTTATAAATAAGGCGATAGCTTTTTTTTTACACGTGTTACTATGTTACCATATGTGCGATATCTACAAATGAGCTTTTTTGTTAGTTAAATCGGTAAAATAGATTGGTATAAGAAATGTGAAATTCTAGATTTGTTTCTAAAAGAGTTGTTGAGGGGAGATGGTACATTTAAGCATATATTAAAGGTGAATGAGACACTCTCTAGCTATCTGATGTGTGGCTCGACAAATTTGTTATACGTATATCTATGTGGTAACATGTTAGGTGATTTTTATGTCATTTGTCATTTTTGGTGTATTTGGTATTTATATGTATACGAAGGGGATCAAAGTGAGCAGAATGCACACTTATATAAAGTGAGGTTGATGGCGAATATTTTGTTGTATGTGATATTCCATTTTTTTTTGGCTCTCACGGATTGGATAATGATTCATAATACGATTCCAATTAGTGTTTTCTCTCTTGTGCCTTAGAAACAAAAAAAGTAATTTGTTATTAGATGATCATATGAAAATATTTGTTGAACCGGTGCAAATAGTTTTCAAAGAAAGTGAAACCACGATATGATAATTATCCAAACAAAATCGTTCTTTTCATCATCAACACATCCTAAATCACCATTTTCCCCAACGTAACATAAAGAAACACTTGTATTGAAGGCTATGTATTAACCAGTCAAAAGTTTGGCTAGTCTAACATTCTCATGACACTTGCTATAGATAACATTATACATACATGCACAAGGGAAAAACAATAGATACCATCGTAAGGAAAATGATTATTGGTACTATTTGTTATTACCACAACTCCATGTTGTCATGAAAGTTCGCTACAATAGGAGTTAGTAGGTGTGTGAAAGATGGTGCAGAAAGAAAGAAAATGATTATTAATAAAGAACGACCCAAATAAATTAGAGTTTTAAGTTTTAACTTTCAAAATTATCAAAATGTTTTATATTTGAGATCTAACGAGTTAAACTTTGTATCAACCTAAATTAATTTATGGCGACTCAACTTTTTATTCACTAAAATTTCCTAAGATTTTCGTATCATGTTGGATGAAGGACCAGTTCGATTTTGACATGACACGTGAAACACGTGTGTATCGGTGAATAAGAGAGGGAAAGTGAATGGCATTTCGGAGAATCTTTGAAAAGGCGACCCCTTTTTGGTACCAGGAATCCAACCTCTATAAAATCTAAAAAGCATATATTCAACAGTATCGTTCTCTCTCCTCCAAGCGAACTGAAAGAATCTCTCATCACATTCAGTTGTTTATGATTCATACGTAATAATAAGATGAATTGCCTTACAAATCTTTCAAGGTTCGTTTCAATTTCTCATTTTCCTCGAGGTTTTGCTAAATTTGTGTTGAATTCACCATGATCGGTTGAGTTTTAATTCTACCAGATCCTATTCAGCTTTGCCTTTACGTAGCTTCAAATGTAAAGCTTCAATTTATCCGAGCTTTGTCAATATGAAGGTAAACTCGTTGATCCAATTGCGAGCATTATGTGTATATATGTGTTTCAAAGCGTGTGATTTGGTGTGCGTGTGTGTGTTTTTCGTCACGAGCAGGGATTGGTGAACGCTATTGATCTTCGAGGAAGTTGTTTAGTAAAGGTAATTAATTTGATTGCGTATTTTTTTGTTCACTTTGTGCGTTTATTGTTTATGTTGAATCTTGTGGAAGGTTAAGGACTACCTCTGACTTGACTGCTTTAGTGAGCCTTGAAAAAACTAACATCTCCCACGTAATTGTGATTTTGAACTCTTAGTCTCTTATAACATCTCATCTTTCTAACATTGATCCAACATCTGTTGCAGAGTTGGATTTTTGTTCTGTAGAGGGATGTTTTCTATATGCTTAATTTTTTTTATGTGATATGCTTTCGATGATTATGAATTTCTAAACCACTGATTCTGTTTTCCCTGTCATACCATCGCATTGATCATTAAGGAAATATTATGTCACTCTAAGCTGCAATTATCAGCTAGAATTTTATATCGTTGATGAAAACCATCAAATATGTTTCTCTCATGTGTCATCAACTATGTTTGATTGTGTAGGCAACTTCTAGTCCTACACCTAGTACCAACATACATGGTGCCAAAGAAGAGGAGAAATCTGATGTTTACAGTACAAACATGACAGAAGCAATGGGTGCTGGTGAGTATACTGATTATGTAAGTTTTATATCTAAACTCAATACCAAGTGGCCTTTTCCCTTTTGGTCCAGTGGTATCTGTGGATTTCTATAATGCCTAGGTTGCTAATATATTAATTTCAGTTTTGACTTACAGGCATGAGCTTGGAATGAATTACAGCTTCATTCGTCCAGACTTAATTGTCGGATCATGTCTACAGGTAATTTACACATTCAGACACCTTCAGATGTACTTTACACATTCAGAATTCTGACCTGTACTTTACACAATCAGACTCCTGCAGATGTTGACAAGCTTCGGAGTATTAAAGTCAAAACTGTATACTGCTTGCAGCAAGACTCAGATCTCGAGTATCCATAAAAACATTTAATCATTAATCCTTTAAACACAAAAGCACAGAAATTAACAGCTTTCCCTGTTTTCCATCTAACCTGTTCACCAGATATTTTAGTGTGGACATCAATGCCATTCGTGAATATGCCAGCACATTCGATGACATTCAACACCTACGTGCTGAAATAAGGTAACTCCTTTGGCCTCTTATATACATAAGGTCTGTTTTTCTAGACTGAATAAACTGTCTAAATGAAAATGAATGACCATTTTACCCTTGCATTACAAAAACAAATTAAGTCGAAAGGAAACAGCTGTCTAGATTAAGTGCGAAACCACTAACCACAAATATTATATTATGGAGCAGAGATTTTGATGCCACTGATTTGAGGTTGCGTCTTCCTGCTGTGGTGAGCAAATTGTACAAAGCTGTTAATCAAAATGGTGGAGTAACTTACATACATTGCACAGCTGGACTTGGAAGAGCTCCTGCAACTGCTGTATGCTGAAAAATCTTATCTTAAGTTACATTTATGCCCTTTTACTTGCTTTTGCATTACTTATATATTATAATGATGAAATTATTGATGTGGTTTCTACTCATATGATAGTTGGCATACATGTTCTGGGTTCAAGGGTATAAGCTCAATGAAGCACTCAGTCTACTCCTGGTAATTTATGACTGATAATTTTCATTTTGTTGTAAACTTTTATGCTTATGCAAGTCACTCTTCTCCTTTCTGTGCAGAGTAAACGTAAATGTTTCCCAAATGTGGATGCTATAAAAAGTGCAACTGCTGACATTGTGAGAAGTTCTTCAATCATATGCTTTGTGAATAAGTAAATAAGCATATAAAAAAGTGAAGCTACCCTTGATGAAAATTAAGTACATGAATAAAAACATGTGTTTTACTTTAATTATTCTTAAAGTGAGAATATATATATATATATATATATATATATATATATATATATATATATATATATATTTGTTTAAAGCTTACAGGCCTAAAAACAAGATCAGTCACGCTGACATGGAATGGTGATAATTGTTCTTCAGTAGAAATAGCTGGACTTGATGTTGGATGGGGTCAGGTGGGTCATAAATTGTTAGATATTGTAAATTTTTTCAACATATATATATATATATATATATATATATATATATATATATATATATGTATGTATGTATTGATGGATTTATCGTTTCATTGCAGAGAATTCCATTAAAATATGAGGAGAAAAACGGTTCATGGATCCTTCATAGGGATTTGCTTGTAATTCTCTAGCTCCTTTCTTAATTATACATATTTGGATGCCTAAGAATGACATATATGCCCTTATGATTGAATAGGAGGGTCGTTATGAGTACAAGTACATAGTTGACGGTGAATGGATGACCAATAAATACGAATCGCTTGCTCCTGTTAACAAGGATGGCCATGTCAACAACTATATCCAGGTACAAGCTATATATAATATATATGTATATTTATAGTTTATGTTTATAGGCCAATAAAATACTGATAGCATCATTGTTATTTCAATTATATTTACTACTGATGCAGGTAGTGGGTAATGATCCAGAGAGTGTAGATTTATGGACAAGATTGGGGGATGATGATTTTGATCTAACGGACAGTGAGAGAGAGACGATAAAAAGGGTTTTGGATGAGTATCCGGATGACGAGTAATCAACCGTATATCCACATCTAGCATTGTGAATCACTTCATGGTTTGTCTACTTGTTTTTTGTATAATCACATGTATATATAAGATTGTGATATCATATGTTTGCTTTGTTGCATTGGTGGTCCCTAAAGAATAGTTTCATTACATTTTTGGTCCTTGAGTTGGACAGCGTTAAAAAGAGTCCGTAAGGCCACATATGCATTGCACATGGGAGAGTACTATTTTTTTGCCTTCCTCTCTCCTTTGTCCGTCTAACAGCTACTTCCTTTTGTGAACCAGTTGAGATTATTCACCCTAGTACCATATTCAATGTCGTTCTAGTCAAATGATCGTGCAACTCAAAATAACTACATATCTTTATCCATTCATCTTTCCTGCATCTAGGGGTTTACATATAAAAACTGATCTAGTTCAAACCGACCAACATACATTGGATATCCGATTATAATTAGATTGGATTTTTTTGAACGGCAGTTTAGTGCACCGGACAGTGACATCTGATAGGACAGGACAGTATGCCATAACACCCAACGAACCCAGGGTCGATCCCTCTCCGAAGAGATACCAACAACATCCTTAGCAACTCAGTTTCCATTAAGGCTTCACTCCTTTGGACACAGAACTTGACACCATTCCCCCAAAAACCACTAGGAGGGGAAAACTAGAATGTGCCTCCGTCAAGACCTCATTGGCGTGATTGGATTGAATTGGTTTGAAAATTTCAACATCCAAATTGATTTTGGATTGGCCTGTTCTTGGATGACCATCTAGATCCAATCCCAACCCGAATCAACTCAATCCAATTGTTATCCGATATCCAGTTATCATTAAATTTGATATATCCAATTATCATCCAACTATTATCCAATTATTAATACATATATATCTAATTATCATCCAACTATTATGTAACTATTATCCACTTATAATCTAATTATCCTGTAAGTGTATATCCAACTTCATATTGTTATTGTATTTTGGTTGGAACTTGGAACTAATTTTTAATACTATTGATTGTTATTGTATTTGGTTTGTATTGAATATTTGAAATTTATATTTTATGTATTTTGATTGGAACTTGGAGCTAATTTTTAAAACTATTGATTGTTATCGTATTTTGTTTGTATTGAATATTTGAAATTTATATTTTAACACTATTGATTGTTATTGTATTTTGTTTGTATCTTCCACAACGTTTTTGGTATTTTTCCTTTGAAACTTCTATCTATCTCATTAATCGTCTACCATCCCGTATCTCTTCAAACAAGTCACCTTTTCAGCATGTTTTCAATAGAAAACCCGATTACTCATTCTTTCGGGTTTTCGATTGTCAATGCTTCCCACACCTCTGACCATATAATCGACACAAAATGGATTTTCGCTCCACTCCATGTGTTTTCATGGGATATAGTCGTCTTCATCATGGGTATCGATGCTTTGACCCTGTCACGGACCGCATTTACATCGTCCGTCATGTCCACTTCAATGAAGAGGTCTTTCCTTTTCACTCTCCTTCACCATCACCATCCAACCCCAATACATCACCCATTTATGTCTCCACTTTTCCCACTCATGCTGCAAGCACACCAGAGCTATATCCCGAAGCACCCACTACCAATGAAAACGACACTCGTACACCTACATCTCCTACCTTACCACCTCCCCTCCACCAGCCCCATCCCCACCCCACCCCACCCCACCCCAGCCTCACCCCTACCCCTACACTCTCGGCCTTCTAACCTTCACCAAAATCCCAAGCGCAAAACCCCTTACAGCCCATCTGCATACACTGCCACTGTACCTTCCTCCCCTCTTACCGAACCCACTTCGTTTTCTGTTGCCAACAAGTTTCCCGAATGGCGTAAAGCGATGCTTGATGAATTCCAGACACTTCAAAAAAATGGAACCTGGTCGCTTGTTCCTCCTGTGCACAATTCCAATATAACTGAATGCAAATGGGTGTACAAATTAAATAAAGATTCACAGGGAAAAGTTTCTCGCTACAAAGCACGGCTTGTCGCTAAGGGGTTCAAACAACAACCGGGCGTTGACTACCACAAGACTTTTAGTCCGGTAATCAAAGCCACTACTATTCGAGTGATTCTTTCCCTAGCCATGACAAACAAATGGCCCTTACGACAGTTGGATGTCCAAAACGCATTCTTGCACGGTGATCTCAATGAAACAGTTAATATCCGATAGCCACCAGGTTTTGTTGATCCTCGCAAGCCTGATCATGTATGCCTTCTTCACAAATCTCTTTATGGACTCAAGCAAGCCCCACGTGCTTGGTTCACTCGACTGTCGACGACTCTTCATCGTCTTGGATTTTTAGGATCCAAAACCGATCCCTCTCACTTCATTCTCAAGACAGGCCGTGTTATTGTTTATGTTATTGTTTACGTGGATGATATTATTGTCACAGGTAATGACACTAAGGCTATCGATCAAATCATTCATCAACTGGGATCTACCTTTGCCATCAAAGATCTTGGCAAACTTCATTATTTCTTGGGTATTGAAGTTGTTCCCCATGGACATGACATTCTTTTGTCCCAACACAAGTATATTTTGGACATACTTCAACGCTCCGGTCTAACATATTGTAAGCCAATATCATCTCTCATGAGTAATACTCAGATCTTGACTCCCGATGATAGTCCATACCTCTCCAACCCTGTTGCCTATCGACAAACTGTTGGAGCACTTCAGTATGTTACATTTTCTAGACCTGACATTGCCTTTGTTGTCAATAAGGTATGTCAGTTCATGCATGCTCCCACTGAGAATCACTGGTCTGTTGTCAAAAGGATATTGCCCTATCTCAAAGGCACTGCTAATTTTGGTTTATTTCTTCGTCACAACTCGGACTCCTCTCTTCAAGCCTTCACTGATAGTTGCTGGCAACGTACTGATAGCTCAAAAATTACCGCCTTCTCTGATTCTGATTGGGCTGGCTTCCCGGTCGATCGGCGTTCCACGGGAGGGTTTGCTATCTATTTGGGGTCCAACTTGATATCCTGGAATGCTCGCAAACAACGAACTGTTTCAAGGTCCTCTACGGAGTCTGAGTATAAGGCTCTTGCAGACACTGTTGCTGAGTTGCTTTGGCTAAGGGCTCTCCTACATGAACTGGGAGTTTCTACAAAATTCTCTCCCACGCTATGATGTGACAACCTTGGAGCCACATATCTCTTTGCAAATCTGGTTTTTCATGCCCAAATAAAACATGTTGAAGTAGATTTTCCTTTTGTTCGTGAACAAGTTGTCTGAGGTCAATTAAAAGTCCAATTTATATCTACCAATGATCAGATTGCTGATGTGTTCACTAAGCCTTTATCCTCTCAAAGATTTCTCTTTTTACGGTCCAAGCTGCAGGTCGTTCCATCTTGCGGGGGAATGTTAGACATATGTTTAGATAGTTTATTGATAGTGTTTATATTAGAGGGTATCTAAATGTAACTATCTAACATATATATAGGATTGTAATCTACGCTACATAATATACAAATTCATTACCCTTTACATGGTTTAACTCTGAAGTAAATGTCCAATGGATAAAACTGATCCTGTCCAATGTTTAATTGTATCGGTTCGGTTGGCCAAGGTTAATTGCATTGGATCGGTTGATAATATCCAATATCCAATAGATGATTGGATTGGATTGGTTCTATAAAAAAACATTGGATATCTAATTACGAACAGCATCATGCAAAACTTCTCCTCAATGATGCATTTTATTGCCTCCTTCGTGACGCACAACTTTTTTTCTTCTTGAACTCCTTTACCTATGTTCGTTACAGTTTTTTGTCCTCGACATCTTATCTTCTAAAATTGCTAAGTTAAGAAATTTCATTTTGAAAGCCTCCATTTTGCGCCTATTTTTCAAAGTGACAGTTCTCATCATCTTTGTTAAGGTTCCCCGAAAATTAAGCATCAGAAAAGATTGTGTATGTGTTTGATTCCAATGTCTAGGCCTTTTTCGATGATTGGACAAGATCACCCATTAGAAGGACGATGCCCATTTCAGGTGATCTTTCATAATGTCTCATATCGCCGTATGAAAAAAAATTCATTTTGAACGAGTTATTGTCGGATTTTTTTTTGAACTTTCAAGAATCCGCTTCCAAAATGACCGGCGTCTTTGCTAATTTCCAGCTTTTCCGAAACATTGATCCAAGCCTTGAGCAATGTCAAGGTTCAAACATTATGACTATTATAGTATTGTTTTTATTATTATAAATATTTATAATTATTTGTATTTTTTGTTGCTATTATTATTATTGTTATTATTATTATTATTAGAGATATATATTAACCGAACAAAAATATCATAAAAATCTATCGATATTAGTTTTAATAATTATTAGTACTTATATTTTATTTCTAAAGTTACATCTAGAAAGTGCATTTCAATTTTATTTGATTTTTGCGAACTATACTTCATTTTTTTTTTTTTTTTTATTATTAGCTTTCTATAAAGAATGACAACGCATTCGATAAAAACATTTTATTAGCAACGCTTCATTTTCAATATCTTCAACAATTTCATCGTTTAAAAGCACTAGGTGAACCAACACTCCCTTCCTTCTATTTATAGTCAAAAGTCAAAACAGTTTTCAGACAGTCCACTGTCCGGAACTGCTGTGTAGGTTTTCACACTTCCTCCTTGGCATTGGCATTGCTTAAACCCTTTCATCTACGACTTCCAATCCTTCACATACGACAAACAGGTAACTTCTATATATGTCCGTTCGCATTTTCGTTCTCCTATTTTACATCGATCTGATGATTATCTTTAATTTTTGCCTGGATCATTGAATCTCATACGTACGTCCCCTAATTAGGAGTAAGTTTCTTGGATGAGAGCGTTTAGATTCTATCTTGTTTTTGGAGTTGCTTAGGTTGGACTGTTCTTGTTTATTCTTAATGATGTAAAATGAATGTCGCTTGGTGATTTTGCATACAACATAGGCGGGAAAACAGACATTCAGTAAAGCCGATTTCCTGCCCTGTCTTAAGAACCTGGCTCAAAAGAGAAAAGAAGACCGAGGCTAAAAGAAATCTCATTTTCGACGATTGAACTACAATTTCAGTTGATTTGAGTGAAATTGGACGCCTTTAGTTGTGAAGAGATATATTTTCGATTGTTTGAAATCCTAACTGTGAGACCTGATACAAACTTATTGACCTTTTGAAAACTATAAGGATAGTCGTTAGTTGTTACAAGTACTTGTATATGCATCACATAAGCAATAGGTTACCAATCAAATAAATACATGCCGATTTTTTTGGGTTCTGTTTCTGCAAATGGGCTTTCAAGAGTCGAGATATGTCTCTACTGGAGTGCTATCAAAGGAAATTGAATTTGTTAGGGTTGTTTCAGACTTAATTAACATCTAAACCCTAAACCATGGTTAACTTCTTGCTCTTTTGTTTGACTTTGAGGGTTACATGTCATACTTAATAATTTGCTCCTTTTTGTTTAGATATAGTGATATGAGATGATATTGAACACCTTTCTATGTCAATCAAGTTTAGTGTAGAGTTTTGTGAGTAGCTGTCATTATTGGTGAACTCTTCCCTCACCTGAATGCAAGTTATCAAAGGAGGTTTCATTAGGCAAACCTTTGCCCTAGCAAAATCCAATGACTCAGCAGGAGGGAAAAGATCAAAAAGACGCTCAAAAGAGGAAAGAAAAGAAATGGTGGAAGCTTTTATAAAGAGGTAATTTCATTCCATTTTATTCTCCTTCTTCTTTTCCATGTCTTTAAGTAATATCATCAGAGCTATTGCTTTCACAATCTGCTTCCAAGTTTCACAAGTAATTAATTATTTCTTTCTTCAATGTTGTTTAAGATATATAGTTCTTAATTTTCATGATTTTTACAATATGCTAACTTACAGATATCAGGGGTCAAATAATGGAAATTTCCCATCACTACGTCTCACACGCAAGGAAGTTGGTGGGTCCTACTACACAGTGCGTGAAGTTTTCCGTGAGCTAATTCAGGAGAATCGAGTCCTGGCCCCACCTAAATTGCCTCCAAGTGAGGAGAACATGGAGAATCTAGACAGCTTCTTGGAAAACAATCAACTGGGTTCCATTTCATTTGATCCAAAAGACAACCAAACACTACTTAAAGAGTATGAGCTAAGACGGGAAAAAGTTTTGAGTTCAAGAAAGATCTCTGAACTACAAAGATGGAATCTTGATGATGATATTATTGTTAATGGGAGTACTCATACAACAATGAAAAATGAAGAATTTGAAGATCCAAGATATAATAATGGAAATTTGGATAGTGAAGTTGAAGAACCAGTGCATTCAGAATTGGTTATGGAACAGGCTACGAAAGGACAAAAAGATGAAACAGAAGAAGTTAAAGTACATCATTTGTCAGAAGATGTAGTGGTAGAGACTTTTCCATTGAGACCTGTTTCTAGCATGGTTTATAACATTGATGAGAAAACAAGTGAGGAAGAGGTAGTGGGTGGTGGTAATGATGAAAGATTTGTTCATGATGCAATCGAAGATGTTAAATTTGAGGAAACATTGCCTGCTGAAGACAAAGTGAGTTCTTTTGAAACTTTTTATACCACTTAACTCCCATAATTAATGGTTTATTTTAAACTAACGATAAAATTGTAGTTCTAGTTTAACATAAATCTAAGAAATTGCAACATACTTTAATTGGATTTGTTTATTATAGCATTCTACTTGTATTCCTCTTTACTATAGCATTGTACTTTTTTTTGGAAGTATAGTGCTGTAAATAGTAGAAAGAAATGGAAGTACGATGCTATAAACTACACCATAAATGAAAGTACATCGCTATTTCTTGCATTTAGCCCTCTTGAATGTAATATTATTTGCCACTTTGACAGGCATCCAGTATCCCTAAACATGGTTCTTTAAGCAATGAATCATGGGAAGCAGCAGTAATAAAGAAACCAGAGAGGCAAGAAACTAATCCGATTGTGTCATTCACCAAAACATTCTTTGCTGCATTCATGAAGTTATGGTCTGAATAAATAGTCAACTTCAGGTTTGCTCATATATAATATGGATTTAATTGGGGTTGAAAGAAAATAATTTTGATATGTTTCTTTCAAAGAAAGTTATTAAGGTTGCAAGTTTGGTTATTAATGTGCGTATTAGTAATAGAAGACAGGAGGCAAACTTCCATTTTTGGTTGTGGGGCGACAAATAAATATGTATTGTAATATTTATTTTCTTTGTGAAAAATCTGTAATGGCTTTTGGCATCATCCGTTTATTATTGAAAATATTTGGAAATGTTTTGTTTGTTCATGCCAAAAACTCGCGAAGATATAGCGTGATTTTTTATTTTTGTTAGAAAGAGTATCCTTATTTGACTTGCGAATCATGTCCTTAGCATGAAAATGTAAGCAGTTTGGCTTTATTTCAAAAAAAGTAATAGAAACGTATGCACGATTTACTATTTGTGGACAAAATGGTCATTTTATTAAATTTCGGATAGAAGTAGTTTTCCACAAGTGCACCAGTCATGACCATCTTTTTCGTTCAAAAACAAAACAAAACAAAACACAACACGTCTACCTTTGAAGGTGGTTTTAGTGAACAACTAAGATATTAATTACTAGTTGTGACATTCGAGTACTACATTGATTTATTCTAAAAAGAAGTTAAATAGTATAAAAGTCTAAACATTTAAGACTTTGAATTTATAGAAAAATGAAAAAAATATTGAATTATTGAAATTGAAATGTTTATTTATCTTTTAAATTTAAAGAAATAATTTAAATAAATAAACAAAAAAATAAATAATAATAATTGGGTTTTAATTTCGAAATAGAAAAATAGAAAAATAAACAAGAATTTTGAATTATTGAAACAGAAAGTTACATTAATGAAATTGATATATATTTATTATGGTTATTATATTTACATACTATATGGAATTTAATAAAATGATATGTAAAAAAAAAATTAATTTAAAATAACCATAAAATAACATATTATAAAATAAATAAGAATGACATATAACAAAAATTTTATTTATTTATTAGAATAGAATTAAAAGAATATGAATATGGTATAACAGATAACCATTTTTTATTGGAAGTGCACCATTTGCATTTATTAAATATTATATTGACCTATGGTCATATATATGCAACCACTTGTTAAGCCACAACGCCCCTTAATGAAGTCCAAGGGTAAAACCACTCATGCCGCCCGATGTTTTACACATTGAGTTCAATTTACATCGTTATCCCTAAGGATATGATTGCCATATTATCAACAATGTAAGATCTTTTATATGTGTATACAGTATATATACATACATAAGATAGATCATAGATAGATATACAGTGTGTGTTAGAAGGTGATACAACAAGAGAAAAGAGAGATATGGGTTTTAGTGAGAAGCAAGAAGCATTGGTGAAGGAATCATGGGAGGTGATGAAGGAAGACATTCCTGCTCTTAGTCTCCATCTTTATGCCATGTATGTTTGATTGTTTTCATAAAATCTGCATCAACAAAATTTTTCTATTTGTAATATTTTAATAAAGTATGTATGAAATAAAATGATAAAATCGTAACATACAGGATATTGGAGATAGCCCCGGAAGCAAAAGGGTTGTTTTCATTTCTGAAAGACACGAATGAAATTCCCCAAAATAACCCCAAGCTCAAATCCCATGCTGTTAAAGTATTCAAGATGGTGAGTTATACTTATACTACATCGATCTATATGTATATTTTCCCCATTGTTACCTTTGTTTTCTATACATACATGTATCACGATTGCTTATTATATGTACATGTGTGATGAAAGGTATGTGAGTCAGCAATTCAACTGAGGGAGAAAGGTGAAGTTGTGGTTTCTGGTTCTTCACTCAAGTATTTGGGATCAGTTCATCTTCAGAAAGGAATAGTTGATCCTCACTTTGAGGTAATTTATTAAATGTTTTAAGAAGTGCGAGTTTTGATTAAATAAATTAAATTAAACCAAGTTTTTTATTTTTTAATGAATGAATGAAGGTGGTGAAGGAGGCTTTGATAAGAACAGTGGAGAAGGCAATGGGAGAAAAATGCAGTGAGGAAATGAAGAGTGCCTGGCGTGAAGCTTATGATCACTTGGCTGCTGCCATTAAAACTGAAATGAAGCAAGAGGCTGCACAAACTCAAACTCAACTTTGAATACTGACGGATATATTTATTGATGGTCTTCCAATAAAGTGCAAAATTATATAGGGAGCTATTCGTACGTATATGTGATATAAGACCTATAAAATTTTGATTTGTACACTGTCTTTTTCATCTTCAATCAATAAGAATATCTTGAATCAATAATAATATCTATCCGTCTTCTCTCTCTCTCTCTCTCTATATATATATATATATATATATATATATATATATATATATATATATATATATATATATATATATATAGACACACACACACACATCTGTCATCTGTGATATAAGACCTATTATGCTATGTTCTCGGGTAGGGACATGAACAAATCGGGTTTGGGTTAACCCATTTTTTTGTAGGTTAATGTCATTTTAGATTTTTAGTTGTCTAACAAAATAACGGAGGAGTTGGCTGAAGGCCAGAATGATTGAAGCCATATGGCCCAGATCGGAATGGGGTAAGTTTGTCTCTTTAGACTAAAATTTAAATATTGGAATATTATTATAATTTTAGTTTGCAAAGTGGTGCAATCTGATCATATGATCTCAAAATTCAGCCACACGATACATCAATGTATACAATTAATGTCCATGTCTGTACTATGGTGGAATTCATTAAGAATTTTCAAGTTTGTTAGTCTATGTAGAGATGGTTATTACAATGTAGAGAGTATTGGACACATAACTTGTACTATTTGAAATATAATAGTATGTTTTTTAAAAATATAAGAAACCTTGGAAGCTACCATGATAGTTGTTGCAACAAAAGAAATTAGTAGATCGTGGTGTTCTTACAAAGTTGTTATTTTTGCTTTATATACTCTATTATGTTCAAATATGATAAGATCGTGGTGTTAATTTATGGAGTCCTATTGTTTCTAGACTTGATCGTCACTATTGAGACTTTTATAGTCTCATTCAATAGGTGATGCTAATACGTTAAGTAGACCGAGGATCTAGTCGCTGAGTATTGATAGTTAGGCCCAGAAGGGTATAATGATAGGATCCAATACTCATTATAGGTATATTTGGTGAGTTTTGGTGGATACTTTTATTGAATTTATACCCATAATAGTACAACTATAATGATAGTCATTAGAGGCATGTTTGGTGAGTTTTGGTTAAGGGAAAATACCGACAATAGTAAAAAAAAATGGGGGTTATTTTCAAAATTTAAACATGAAAATGGATATTTCTGGATATAGACATGCATTCCGTGGAGGTAGCTCCGCGGAATTTACTGTAGCTCCGCGGAATGGTAAAATCGTAAATAAATTAGTGTATTAAAAAAAAACTTAAGATCCATTCCGCGGAGCTCCGCGGAGGTAGCTCCGAGGAATGAATCTTCATTTTTTTTTTTTTCACATCGATTCTTCGGGGTTTGTATTCATTCCTCTAAGTAATTATTTTCAAGAAAGATTATGATAATATGAATTTTATTGACAATGTTTGGAATGAATGTGAGTGGAAAAAAACTGATCTTTTAATTAGAGAACATTACATAAAAGAATCATTGGAGGAGTTTCCATTGTAGCTCTGCGGAATGGATCTTGAGTTTTATTATTATTATTATTATTATTATTATTATTATTATTATTATTATTATTATTATTATTATTATTATTGATACACTAATTTATTTATGATTTTGCCATTCCGCGGAGCTACAGTAGATTTCGCGGAGCTCCGCAGAGCTACCTCCCGGAATGCATGTCTATACCCGGAAATATCCATTTTCATGTCTTAATTTTGAAAATACCCCATTTGTATTTTCCTTTTGGTTAATCCAACATTTTCGTGATAGTATAACCATAATGATAGGCATATTTGAACATTTTGTCTCGATGTTCCAACCTCAACTTGTCAATCCTTCTAATGAATTTATTAGTAATGAGGGGTTGGTTGACATTCCTCATGGTGGTTACTTAGTAGTCAGGAGTTGTAGTTGGTTAGCGTTCAGAAGGATTCTTGGTCGAAAGGTAAGGTATATGATCTCGTTGCTTGGAATAGCAACAACGTTGCAAGAAGTGTTCAGTTGATATTTGAATTTCCTTGGAGTTCGGGATGTACGATGTCGGGAGAGTGACATGTGGAGGTTGCTCACTCCGGAGGGATTTGGTTCCTGGAGTAGAGTGGGAAACTTTATCAAGTTATGCCGGTTTGTCAGCGGAAGTTAGTAGTGGGTACACTAAGTGGGGAGAATTGGAAAATTCTCCGGTGAAACAGCAAGCATCCAGGGTTGGTTAGCTGTTTGGATTTATTAGTGTTGTTAGCCGAGAGTGTGGCATGATTGGAGCAAGGGATAAAAAAGTGGGATAGGGAACAGACAATGGTTTCAGGGAAGGTAGTTGGTCGATATGAGGCCTAGGTTTGGGCCACGGAAAGGATTCTGGGAACAGAATGGGAGTTCGAAACCCATAGAGGGCTAGAACAGACTGCATGGGAGAGACTCCCGTGAAGAATGATTCAGGGTGACGTACACCAGTATTGAGCGGTCCGGATAGACTGAAGGCCGGGAGGTGTACCAGTCAGGCCGAAGGCTCGGGGAACGGTCCAGACATGCTGAAGGCCCAAGAGGGTGGTCCAAACATGCTGAAGGTTCTGAGAGTGGTCTAAATAGGATGAAGGCCTGGAAAGGCGGTCCAGTCATGCTGAAGACTCCGTATGTGTTAGTGGATCAGTATGAGGAGAATGATTGAATATGTCGTCATGAAATGGTAATCGATATGGTCTGGCCCCAAGTATTGATCATGGCGATGGATTTGGCTAGAGGCCGTACGTGGGCCTAGTTAGTATGTGATAGGATTCGGAGTATATGAGAGTTCGAGAATAGCAGTTACTCTACATGGATAGTGCAGAGTGGAGTTGGCATAGTGACACTTGCAGGTGTGGCAAGGGTTGTTGAGTAGATTGCCTGGAAAGGAAAGGTATGTGGCCGCGGAAGAAGTGTGAGTCCTCTGAAAGGAAGGCATCAGAATAAACGAATGATCGAAAGTGCTTCAGTTGCTGGTAGTAAGCACTGGGATTATACCAGATATATGGAAACACATACGGGTTGGATGCCCGTTGAGGTTATGGCAATGTTGGATGATGTGCATGCATGTTTTTACTCTCCTTGGAAGAGGAGGATGATAGTGGTGCCAGATTGGAGATTTGGAACGGAGAAGGGTGAGATAGCAGGTTAACAAACTTAGGAGTAGTGTGGACCGGTGCTGAGGACCGTATAAGGATAGTACAGTTGGAGGTCAAGGACCTAGAGATCG